TCAAGCGATGAGTCGTGGGTTTATGGGTACGACCCGGAAACCAAGATGCAGTCGTCACAGTGGAAACATCCGACATCCCGAGGCCAAAAAAAGCATGGCAGGTCCACAGCGATGTCAAGATCATGTTGGCAGTTTTCTTTGACTCCCATGGGGTTGGGCATCATGAGTATGCACCACAAGGCCAAACCATCACAAAGGAATACTACCAGGAGGTCCTTCGTCGCCTTCATGATGCTGTGCGGCGCAAATGAGCGGATCTGTGGGCAGCAAAAACTTGGCAGCTCCATCATGATAACGCACCCGCCCATTCTGCACATCTGATTCAGACTTTCGTCGCCAAACACAACATCCCTGTGGTTCGTCAGGCTCCCTACTCCCCCGATATGGCTCCGTGTGACTTTTGGCTATTTCCCAAGCTGAAAATGCCGCTGAAAGGAACCCGATTTGAGTCAAGAGAAGACATCATGCGGAATGCGATGGTCCAGCTGATCACCATTCCAAAAGACGCGTTCCAGAAGTGTTTCCAACAGTGGCAGAAGCATTGGGAGAAGTGTGTACATTACCAAGGAGACTACTTTGAAGGGGATTAGGGTTTTGTACCTCCAAATCAATAAACGTATTTCTGCTGCCCAAAGTTTTCGATACTTTTTGAACAGACCATGTATGTGACTATAACATGCTCATGTCCATCATACAAAGTATCAAGATTAGCATTCACATGAAATTATACAGCAAATGTCGTGCATATTTAGAAATGATGTGACTGCACACATGGAAGACTGATACAATTGTTATCAACATACAGTCACATATAAAATATTCAGACCGAACCTATTTCTACACTTTTATATGTTCTATATTTTTCTAATCCTAGCATTATAGTCTGGACTTTTTAATAAGTTCATGTTTTGAGCCTGAAACATGCAGTGTAAGCGTGGGAATAGAAACAAGGTTTTAATGCTAGTTTGTGTGATGTTAAATCTCAGAGCTTCAAATGTCCTACAGAGACTTGTATTCATAACATGTATTTCCAGTCCTTAGCCCCATCTCAAACCCTAAATGAAGTGCCACCTCTTGCTGACTGACTGCATATTTAATACATTCACAGCTAATTTCTGCCGTCTACAACCTCAGGATATCCCATGTAATGATAATAAGCGACCCACAGAAGAAAACGGTTTGATTATAGCACAAATGCTTGTCAGTATAATCCAAGTAAAAAAAGTCAGCATAGGCAGTGAAAATATTCATAAATACTTTAATCATTTACAAAATAGAACAGGTCATATAATCATTTGTTGCACCAATTATGTCCTCTGTATTATGACATTTGAATTTGAATTTATTTAGGTTCCATAAATCCAAGTACAGGTTGACACTGTAGGATATGAAACAATTCAAGTACAAATACAAAGACAGAGAACAGAAGAAAACCATTCTGAATGCACAAGCCACACGAGTCCAGTTGCAAACCGCCAAGTTAATGAATACTGTACCTCTGGGTTGTGCAGATGATTGAAGAAAAGCAAAGTGTTCAGTATTATAATGATATAACTGGAGTTTTCCAATTCGTCTCACATACGGTCCATAAAGTTTGTAACTTGTTAGCTCCCCTGTCCCAGCTTTCAACCAATAAAGAACTCCTTCAAATAAAGCCAAGTCAATGGGGTTTCGCACATACTGCAACAAGTAATGTGAAGACTTATGGTTCAACATGATTTCAAAATAAAGCAATACATGAATTTTAGCAAGGCCATAGCACCAGAAGATTTACCAGTATGTGGAGTAAGTACATCCACGCAACACAAACTAAAATCTAAAAAATTTCTAGTTTCCCAAAAATGCTCTTTCAGATTATCAAGAATGCAGATACTAACATTAAAATTACAGTCAGCAGACAAAAATAACACATAAAAGTGGAACTGATAATGCTTTGTGCCTAATATTTCAATAACCAGTTCAAATATGGAATTTCAGCTTTGAGAACTCATAAAATTTCACCTTGGTTGTATAAGCAACATAATTAGCAGGAAATCTTGCAGTATAAAATGTAAGAAATTGCAATGCAATATGAATGGTACTATGTACATTATTTTGTCTCTTGCAACATGCCACAATGAAGTATCCGCTGTGTATGTTCTCATCTCCTACAGTGAGTAGATGCACTAATGAGGGCAAAGACATACTGAGAACGATTAACAACTCACAAATTTAATATCTTATAGCAATTCAAGGTTTTAAATCTATTAAGAATCAATATTTCAGGATGCTTACATACTGGAAATTATACTGCAATAGGAAATTATTTAATTACAAGCTGTGACTGACAACTAGCTAGCAAAATATTCTTTCATTTCTCCATTTCAATATTACATTTTCTCCCAAGCTTTCTGCATACATTATGACAGTTAAATTCATTAAGGGCTAAATTTGCTGCTAAAGAATGTATTCTACAGAGTTCTTTTAACTTTGTTGACCGGCTCACAGCTCTGTGCGTCATGACGACTGGTGCGCTGCTTGTCACGTAGCGCATACAAGTTTTGCCAATAAATCAGCATGCCTTACCACTGAAAATGTGTGGAATAAAAGGAAATAATTCACTTGTGGACCAACTGACAGCATTATGTTTCATGGCAAGCAGTGCGGTTCATTCATGGGAATTTGTTTACGGTTTACCATTAGTGGGTGGCAGTTACCAGCTCTATTAGCCGTTTGTTCTCAGTTATAGTTGGCAAGTAGAAATTAGATGACATAGGAGCCAGACTTGAACATACACCTAGAAACATCTAGTTGAAGAGGCAGGAGTGTCAGAGTCTAGTGCAAGACGGGCAATACAACTGCTGAAGCTTAAACCCTACAAAACAGCAGCAATCCATGTCTTGCAGCCAAGTGATTCAGCTAGCAGGGTTCATTTTTCCAGTTGGGTTCTACAGTCTGTCATGGAAGGTGGGATTGATCCGCAATTCACATTCTTTTTTATGAAGGGTACTTTCACCTGCAGGGATACAAAAATACGCAAAATAATCCCAACTGAAGTTAAGAGAATATACATCTAACTCGCAGAATCCCGCTGCAACCAGTGAAAGTGGGTATGTGCTGTAGGTGCAAGAAGGATCATTGTACCCATGTTTGCAATAAAATGATTAATTGCAAAAGATATCTATGTGTAGAGGAACAGCACCTTTTTTACACCTCCTGTGATCTGTTAATTGTAACTACTTCATTCTGAAAGTTATCAGGCATCAAGCATGCTAATTCATCTGCAATATTTGTATGTGCCTCACAGCCAGCAGTGCACCAGTCACCATGAAGCACAGAGCCATGGAACCAGTCAACAAAATAAAAAACCTCCCTTTACATTACTTTGGACAGTTTTGCAAGAAATATGATTAGGAACATTGAGAAAATGTAGATCAGAAAGGTTGCATCCATCTACTGACATAATACCATTCATCTTCCATATTCACACAATCTGAAGAAAGCACTCAACATCATTATAAATGTTATAGTTATGAATTTGGATTTTATTCCAGAAGTGCATTAAACTTGCCGTGTATGAACGTCTTATTAGAATTACCAAGAATGCTCGATCAGTTTAGACAAAACTGTAACTACTGTTTAGTCACTCGCAGTATTTTACATTGTCATGTGAAAATCCTCAGTTTTCTCTACAAAGCATAACACTCCTGCTTGACAAATCAACAAAACTGTCTGAAGCTTATTTCCATCTATCAGTGTTGGTAAACACCAAATTCTTTGAAACTTGTGAAGGACATACAAAGAGCAGAATGTTTTACTGACTTGTACATCATGATAAAAATTAACTACATTAATATATTTTCATTCATCCATAACTGCGTAGAACTCTACAAAGAAGCAGCAATAGATCCTACATAAATTAAACTTTTGCCCTCAGATTCTTGTTAAATAGGGCATAATGGATTTTATTTGCAATTTGCTATTAATGGGACAGTTTCACCTTTGTATTTACATTACTACAAAAATAATATACAAGTTCACCAATAACCCTGGATATATCTCGCATGCATTTATAACATCTGACAATAGTTCATGTGTTTACTAAATTATAGGTAACATATTTTGCTTTTAGACATATACCATAGCTCAAGTAGTATGAAATCTTGTATTCCATGCACATGTAACACAAACAGAGGAAAATAGAGGGTGGTTTGTGGACTTCAAAACCCTCAGATAAAGATACTATTTCAGACAGGGACTACAAAGATAGCATTCCTCACACTACAGCTTTAATGCATTAAGCTAATTCCAGTGTAATCCTGAAACTTCATATAAAATACATGGAGTGTGAAAGATAAAAGCAAAAATTTTCACTACCACTTGTACTATCTACTAGTTGCATTTAAATTTGCAGCTAATAGGTCCCATGTGTAATTTGTAGTCTATCATATAAATATCCTGGCTTTTGACCATGCAACCAATTCAGTAACTTGGTGATAGAAGTTATTTTGATTGTTTTAATATGAAGATGATATCTGTGACAGAATAAGTGTTAAAGATTTTCAGTCTTGCATTATTGAGATATACATTTGGATTAAAATATTCTGTATATGACCTTCAGGTTTCAGATGTTTTACTACAAGAAAAGAATCATATCTTATACATTTAGAGCATTTCTGTCATTGTAAAATTACCACACTGAAAGAGATCAAATTATTGTGACTCACAGTTTTGCAAGACTTAAAAATAAAATTTAATTCTTACCTCAGTAGTTATAACAGCATGCCAATCCATTCCTACATAGCTCATACTTTCAATCGAGTGCTTGTATCCATCAGCTAAATATATTTTCCTTCGTACCAGATCCAATGTCAGACCACTCACAAACATGAAACGGAATTTTCCCAGATTCACTTTATTTCTACCATCAAGGTCAGACCGATATATGTCACTTGTGGGCACATGAAAAATCCAGCTGCTTTCCACTGCCCAAAACAAATATCTGGAATAATGTGAATATCATAAATACAAATGATATTTGCAGCACATTTTATAAAGTACCTCCAGTACTGAACATGTCAAATACCAAATTCCTATGACTGGATAATAAAATAAAAGATTACACTGTAACATGAAAGGTAAGACTATCCCTGTAACTGGTTGTGGAGGCCCATACGGTTGTGAGACGTCGAGACTCCCTCATTTTCTAGACAATCAGCTCACAGATGGCAATGAGGTTGTTGGCCTCACGCATCCATCACCCTTTATCCCCAGGAAGATTCCTGGTACTCATTTCTGTAACATACAATATTAATATGCAGCATGGGCAAAATGGGCTCAAACTGTCCATTTGTGGTTAGGGGATAAACTGAATACATCATTAGATTGAGAAGAACTAGAATGAAAATGTTAATGAACTCACCCCATTAACACTGTCAATTCAGGGTGCAGACAGTGTTAAAGAGTGGCAACTGGACACCCCCAAATCAGTTATATCCAGTCAATCCACATTTCCCTTCAGATCCAGTATACTAATATCCATCTATTTATTCCTAGAGTACAAAGGCAGCTACTCCTTTCAGATTTTCTGACCAACTTTATAAGAATTTCTCATCGTCCCATCAGCCGATCTCACCTTCCATTTTACAACATCAATATTTTGTCAAGGGAGCAAATTCAAAGTTTCCAAGCCATACAAAAGAGAGTAAGTGATGGTTTTATCTATTTTAATCTTCAGGTGTCTAAACAGGAGACAGAAGATAAAAATCCTGGACTGAATGACAGCAAGTATTTGATAACCTGGTATTTGTGTTTTTCCCACTAAATGACCTCTAGCAGTATGAATCAGAAGCTAAAAGGCCGCTCCTTTTTCTCTTGGGCCTGCCTTTAATTGGAACTTGAAAAGGAATCACAATAAAAAAATCTTGGTTTAGACTGTCCAGAATTGGAAACTTAGCAGATGAATATTTACTCACAGAATTTACGGATTTTAACCTGTAACCATATGGGTTTCATGGGTGCACCAAATTCAATGAGAATGTTGTACAATAATTTTCTCTTAAGTCAAAGGCTTTCTAGGGGTAATGTGCTGTTTAAATGTATGACTTTTTTTTCAGTATCTGATGAGCACAGATTATATTACTGACAATAACAACAAAATCCATAGTGATGGCACTCATTTTTCTTTATGTAAATAGGAGATACCATTTTTATTTTGAAGTCTTTTACTCTCCGCGTACAGTATAATAAAAATGCATATATACTTGAGTTGTTTCACCTTAACATTTCATATTTCAAATAGCCCCTATAAGGACGTGTATGCTGGCTGTAAAAATAAAATTTCATTTTACTCCATAATGGAAGAATTTGTAGTGTTTAAGGATGGAAATTACAATGTTAGTCACATCACTACTACCACCACATAGGTGGCAATTTGATTAACTCACCCAGCAATGGGATCCACTGCAAGTTTGGTCACAGTATAGGTCTGCTCCACAGAAGCCACTGTTGCACAACGTTTTTCATCCAAGTTGCACACTCGTATTGTCTGGGGAATGGTTTTTTCAACATAGTAAACATTTTTCGTGATCCAGTCAAGAGCAATGTCTCCTGGACTTCCAATGCCAGTTACATAAACTTTTTTCCCTCCAAGCAGTGACAGTCGACTAATTGTCCCTGTTACATCTGCATACAGAGGTTATAATTAAGAATTAGATACTAATATTCCAGAATTATTATAACACAAAGAACACTTATAAGCCACACTTACTCAAATCAATATATTTATGATAAATAAAAATCTGATCACTATATCGTTATGTCTGAATATACATTGACAGTTCCAAATGATTTCTTTTAATTATGGAGTTACCCTGGAAAAAATGCAGAATAAAATTCGGTATACATCTGATGCTAGGAGTGAAACCTTTTTATCATTTTATATAAATAGATACAATAACATGTATCTGCCTCTGCTTGAGAACCATGATAAAGTAATAATGACTCAATAGTATGCGTTTCTGATTGCACAACCTCATTAGTGCCACGTACCTCTTACAGCTCATGAAAGTAATTTTAAATTAATGTTGTACGAATCCATAAGTAGCTTACCATTCTTATCTTTATCATACAGAGTCTTGGTTTTTAGCACTTCTCTTTTTGTTCTCAATACTTGCAAGCTCATTCAGTGTTTCTTTCACCTTTTTCATACATTCTTTGCATGAATTTTAATGCTAATGCATAGACTGTGTACATCACAATGTCTGGTTTCACAGTCAAGCATCAGATGATGAAATTTGGTATTTAGTGTCAACACCAGAAGTTGCCAGAAATGTAATTCTGGTAAATTCAATTTTGTACATATCCCAACTTTACATAAAGCCCAAAGAAAATTATTAATAATGTGAAGCATAAAAACATTTTACCCAAGATAAAGGCACGTTTGAAACTTTTTTTTTTTTTCAGAAGGTGAATATTTAACCAATACAGAGAAAAAATATTTCTGACTATGTGCAGTGATTTATACTATTCATAGTATTCATAGTATGAATAGCCTGTTTTAAATTAAAAAAAAATTCTCTCCCAGCTCAAACACTAGACATTTTGGTCACATACAAATATGTATTTAAGTATATCTATTGCACCAATCTGTATGAAAGTTTAGGTGGTTTGACAAATCTGTTCAAGACCTCCATTATAAAATGCTATCAAAATCAGTCCAGCAGTTCTTGTGTAATGAGATAACATATTATAAATATCACTTTCATTTAATTATTTCAGAAACCTCAAGATTTATTGAAAAGTTTGAGCATATTGAGTGCTTCACTTTTTTCTTTTCCATTTTTGTTCCAAACATTTTTCACTCCACATAATATCTAGTTAATTATTCAAGATGAGCACAGAACACACGTAGGTCTTCATAACGGTAATGGTGTCCCTGTGCATTATCCCATGAAGTGGAGGTATAACTCCACCATTTTTTAGCTCAGCACTAATTAGCAGTCAGCTTATGCCCTAGTTGCTTTACCCCCATGGAAATCACTCATGATACCCACTGAATTGGAGGACGTGTGAGCCCGAGTCAGTCTGGTTGCTGTGGAGAAGAAAAAAATCTTTCCCCTGCCAGAAATTGAAACCCAGCCATCCTGCATAGTCCATTGTTATATGAATTGAGCTATCCTAACTCCTAAATTTCATGTACAGTGCCAATTATTTATATTGTGGTGTAGGCAGGTACCAGTGGTTTGAATAAGCATGCTGACTCCAGCTTTGTGCCATAAGTGAAAAAGTTGGCAAAGTGGCAGATTTTATAAAAACCGGGGGTTCAATTTTAACCAAAAAAATAAAAGGAATGAACTGACAAATTCCAATGAACTCTGTAATATCAAATTTCAGGAAAATCTATTCAGCAAATCTTGAGTTGTCACATGTGGATGGAGATAGTGGGAGACCAGCAAGACAGCTAATGGGTGCATTTTTGAAACCTTTCATTCTCAACATGCTAAAAACTCTACCCTCTTCATTGCTGATGATTCTTTTGTACAAACATTTGAAAAAGCCTATTCTTAGAGATTAATTAATCTTTTTGGATGGAAATCCAATCATCCCATAGAAAAGTACTATTCTAGTCCCATCTGACCTCCTATACTTCTCACTTAGCTATATTCCGCTAATTATTTTTTTTTGCTATTGATTTTAGTGAACCTGCCCTATAGATTCATAACATTCCTAGTTTCAGATCTCTCATTCTCTCATTGCTCAGTTAGTGCCAAAGAAGGGCCACGCCATAGCTCAAGCGGTTAGTCACTAGCTTCCAATCACGGTGGCCCGGGTTTGATCCTGGATCTGGTCTAGTGGGATTTGTGGTGGACAAAGTAGCGCTGGGGTAGGTTTTCTCCGAGTACTTCGGTTTCCCCTGCCAATCTTCATTCCATCAAATTCTCCATCATCATAATCACCCGGGACAGGCTACAATAGGCCAATCAGTGGCCACTCTCCTGAGTGGATCCAGTAGGACTCCACCCCCCAATAAGCGAATTAAAAAAAAATTAATTAGTTTAGTGCCAAAGAATCTGTATGAAGCTGTTCATGACATTTCATAACAAGTTAAATATTTACAGTGAGATGCTGTGACAGCCCCACAATCAAACTTGGACCCTCTGTAAGATGTCCACGACATCTCGTTCAACAACTTGCAGTGATCTATATACAAACACCATAAATACTATAGATGAGAAGGTGATGTGTCCCCTTTCATTTCAATACTCCCTAATAGCATATTCTAAAGTGAGGCAAGAAAAGTGATGGTTATGAAGCATCCTCTTAGGTTGACATTCATCAAAGCAATTTAACACAAACTATGTAATTATTACCTATGCTCCAGTACACTTGACTCAACGCTGAATCCACATCCAGTCCTGTTACATCATATCCAGAATCAGTGAACACTACATCTATGAAACGAAGTTCACGTGATACTTTTCTGATTTGATGTCCTGCTGAAAATATGAACTGCATTGCTTTTCCTGTGAAAATGCCATGAATATGTTTGAGTAAAATTACATTAGATAACATATTTCTAAATCAAATGCAAGAATAACAAAGATGTGGGTACATTGCTGGGGCCTGTTTAGTAGAAAAGTAATGAGGTTGTTAAAGTGAACTGCCACTTTGACAAATAAGAATGAAGTGTAGTGAAGTTTTCAAAAAAACATTCCAGTGTGGGAATTTAAATAAAATCCCCACTTGCTATCTGTCAACAGAACTCCAGGAGCACAAAAATATTTAATAAGAGAAACTCATTCACGTAGACACACTGTGTTACTGTGAGAGTAAACTGTCCTGAAAAAACATTAACTTACCAATTGCCTTACAAGATACACGATCTGATCGAAGCTGAAAGCCGGGGTCACAAGAACATAAGAAACTGCCACGTGTATTATTGCACACCTGAGCACATGCATCATTATCCCGACATTCATCTATATCAACACACCCAGCTGCATCATTTTGTAATTTGTAACCTTCTGAACAGTCACATATTGGACCTCCAGGTGTAGGATGACAAATGTCTTTACAAGGTGATCCTGGACCACATGATGAATCTGAAATTGATCAACATAAATGGACAAAAATGTTTGTACAAAACCTGACACTTCAAAAGATCTTTCAGGTTTGTCTAATTGGAAGACCAGACAGATTAATCACACAACACATGGCAATTGTTTCTCCTAATCATTAAAAAAGTATTTTTTCCAAGATAATTTTGACCATAGCCTGGAATGATTTCCACAATAGAACAGTAACAAAGATAGTGTATAAGTAATCAGATATAGGACTAAGTTTTCAACTGGCGATTTTCAGTTAACTGCCAACTTCCAACAATATTACCTCTAACACAAAATTGTAATCTTAGTATGTTATGCAATATCACTGATTCACGGTACACAGGTTACTTATTGTATAGGTATATTCATCATACCTTTTGAATAAAAATGTACAGCAGATGTAAAAAGATGATTTAGTACACCAATGACTAAGTCAACATGAATAACACTCTTATTTCTGTCTTGTGTAACAAACTATGCTACTCAGTATCAAAGGGTCATAATGGTGGCTTATTACACATTGGATTGTCGAATTTCTGGATTTCTTCTATCATCTGGTACTCTGCAGGAATATATTTTGGAAACTGGATCAGTTTCTGCCGTCATGCGAAAACTCAGTCCAGTGACTTGAGACTGGCTCTTTATAAAGGACCCTACTGAGTAGATGTCTCCTCCACATGTATTTACCAAAGGCAGAAAGAGATCAATTTTAAAAAATCTGCATTATTTTGGAATATTAGGCGATGGATTAACTAGAGAAACTCAGTAATCCCAAAATATACTACCCTTTGAGGGCTGTCTGTAGTCTTTCTTTACAACGAATCACTAAATACATTATGAAAAATTTACATCATGTAACAAAAGACGCATAGCTCTTAGTTTATGATGTTTTTCTCGTAACTAAGTTTCTATGTTAAAATTATTATATGAATAATCTCCAACAGTTCTATATTCATTTATATTATGCATTACACTTACCACACTGACCACCTTCATCTGAACCATCACGGCAATTCTGTTCCTTATTGCAAACTAAAGACATCGAAATACACTGCCCATTCTTGCAAGAATATTCCATACACGGATCAGTAGTGCCTAGAAAGCAATTATGTACAAGTACCGGTTGAATTTTGCTACCACATGATTCATAATTAACCTCTATTTTATCAGATTTAAATCGATATAAGAGGTTCTCGTGACCCAAACTACATGACAGCGCTTAAAATGTTTTCCACCTTTCTGAGAATATAAATTTCTCCAAAACTATCAACACTAACAATATAAAATACAGTAAAAAGAATCTTCAAACACATAAAACACAGATTATGGCATTGCAAAAACTTTGCCTCTTATAATTGGTTACATACAACAGACTCAGGTAAGATGGTATTACATGAGAATAAAAATCCCATAGTGGCCGTTATGAAGAGTTTATCTTCTGGGATATAATACTGTTCCTATCTTCATGACCGTTTCTTTCCTGGCTTACTACTCTTCAGCCCTGAAGATGGGAACATGCCTTCATCACTCAGACAGGCCATGCATTCTTCTAAGTTATACAAAATTAATACTCTCAGTACAATTGCAATCTATTGCAAAATTTAACTATACATTCAATGAGCATGCCTGCGGTAGAAACAAATCAAAATAAACCAAGTTACACTTGTAATCACATATATTGGGTGGTGTACCAGTGTGATAGTGAGTGTTAATAACCATAGTATTGTGTCAAGATTATTCATGTACCTACTTGAATAATCACTACCTGAACTTCTAACAAGTGCAATTAGCATGATGCATCTCCTAGCTCTGCCACGTACTCCACCCTGTGCTACGTCCACTACACTCACACTGCATTATTTGAGATGAAATCTTCCTCCACTGACTCAGTGTCATCTTTATCTCATATCACCACTACAACAGATGAACCCAGTTAATTGACCACCCACGTATCTGTCCAGATCTAGCCATAAACAATGAAACAGAACTGACTACTGGGAAGCATCTGGCAGAACATGCACCGACTGAGGTATGAAGACTATGATCAGCAACACCACGACTATTAAGTCACCTTGTTCCTGGTCCTAGAAGTGGGCAAAAAATCTCTTATAACACATTACTTATTTCTTTCCCTTCTACTTCTACAGAACTTGCCACTTTCCAAGCTTTGCACATTTCTATCCTGAAGACAAAAGTAGCATTTTCTTCCAAAACAATGGTCCATGCCTATCATACTGAATGGTGTCATGATCCTAAAGACCATAGTATGAATGTGTGTGAAACTATCCTAGAGTCTACCAGCAGTCTTTCAGATTATTTGGCAAGTTGCATCCCATCTGTACGGTCAGATCCTAGAACAAGAACATTCAAACGTTGCCATGTCAAATGACAGGTCTGGTTCATCACAGGCACCAAAATATTAGCGACTGTACCAATTTGTCATTGCCACAGAGCTGGAAAAATGCTGTAAAAACAGCATCAAAATGCTCAGTGGACTTCGAGTCCTTTATCTGAGATCTCAAGCCAGACAGTCTCCCAGCAAAGGACTGGGTATGCATTATACTTTTCTTACTTCGAGCTTCCCAATTTGTGAAGTCCTATCACTAAAACACAGAGATAGAAATCTTGGTATGGAGTGTGCATTACATACAGCCTACATGCAACAATCACAGCTGAATAATGGATGACAGAGCTGTAGGGAATAATTGATATATTTTACGAGAGTACTAGAAAACTCTTCAAGTACATCTCAGCTACAGTAACCCATATCAGATCACCTTTACCTGTTTGTCATTCGCAAACAATGAACTATGCTCTTTGTCAGTAAGCCCTTTGTGTCACCAAATGTAAGCACTTCATATACAGTTCATAATTTGGTCCATATTTCAGCATCAGCAATGTAGGTTCTAAACCATGCAAGTCACAAGTCTATGTAAGGTTACAGCTAGCACCACCTGTTTCTTACAGAACATGCATACAAGATGTGCAGTGGCAGAGCATCACAGGGTACAAAAAGTGAGGAAAATATTCTGAATGTGCCCTGTTGGGTTGCACTGGGGCTATAAATGTATACTGATGCTTACCTTCGGTTGTATGTTGATTATGACAACTTGAAATATCCTCATCTGAACCATCACCACAGTCATCCATTCCATCACATACCCAATCATCAAGAATGCATCTTCCATTGTGGCATTTAAATTCAAAATCCTCACAAATTTCACAGTCTTTCTCATCATCCCCCAGTGGACACTCAACTGAACCATTACATCTGAAACACAACAATTACAATTCTGACATTAATAAACTTGCATTCAGCAGAAGTTACATATTTATAGTAACATAAAGGAGCTGTTACTTTCCCTCTGATCAACAGTTAACTGTGTTTTCATTCATCATTTACAGCAGTCGTTCAGACATTTGTCACGTGTATGAGCGACTATAGACATGTTTGGATTGGTAATTGGATTTATTGAACACTTACAGATAGTGACTACAAGTTGTTTGTTGTTGTTATTGGAGAGGGTGGGTTTCCCCATGCACTTAGACCAAATATTGGTCTATTGTACGTCCCCATGATATTCTACCAGTCTCTACACCCTACCGGTACTGGTGCGTGCCATCAGTCCCGACTCAGCCAGCGAGTTCGGCTTCTACTGGCTCAGCGGTATCTCGATGCTTCCCCCATCTACCAGAGGCGTTAGAGACTACTGTTGGGCGGGAAATGTCCTGAATTTGGCTCAGAGGTCCCCTTGAGACATGAGGTTCTTTTACGTGCCGTAAAGCTATGATATGGGACCCACGGCTTAAAGTCCCTCCTGGAGGACTTGTTCCCTGAATTTTTCCGCCCTTAAAAATTCCACGACCTCCGCCGGGTTTGAACCTGCGTACCTTGAGTCATGAGGTGGGAACGTTACCCCTAGACTACGAAGGCTGCTTTAGTGACTATAAGTAACTGTAGCACTATCAATAATTCTTACACTCTGCAGTTCACTACAGTACATACTAAGTCTTCTCAGTCTGCTGTGTCTTCACTAGTTTTCTGGTAAAGGCTTCATACAGCAGACATTCCCCTTCCTCTGGGTCACCAAACTGTCCAATGGCTCAGCTACCAGCTTCTAACAGCAACAGCTCACAAGAACTGAACCGCAGCAGTCCTGTAAGTCACTCGCCCACCAACCAACCGACTCACTCCACTCCATTGGCTAACTCAAAGGCCAGCAGCCATCTCATACCAACATCCTACTCTTCTCACTGCCATCACAAGATTCTCTCTAAAGTCAAAATTACTTTACGACTGGCAGTTTTTCTTGGCATCAAGCCCCTTGAGAACCAAGACCAGAGATTCTTATCAACTGAACCCTTGCAATAACAGTCCTTATGTAACATTCTCTCTGTTGAGAAGATGGGTTTGTCTCTTATTAATATGATTGGCCTTTCATGAAGTGTATGAATTGCACATTTAGTATTTTATTGAAAGTTTTTCCTTTTGCACTATACACAAGTCCTCTCTCAGTACAGGCTTTGCAAGCTTTGCTACGATGGCAGCTTAATCACTTCAATGGTCATAAGCTCAATTTCACACCTCACAAAACAACATACAAAATTATACTTCCGTGTTTTAATCTAGCAGGTGACACAACACACACTGAATTTAATGGCAGCATACAAACCTCAGATTTAATCTACTCTTTAATTTCTTCGTGAAAGCAATTTTAATATGCTGGTACCATTTCCAAATATTTGAATTTTTACACATCTTAAAGATTTAATAACCATTTTTTTTTACAATTTTGTCCTGTATTACATGGTCAAGAGAAGAACATAGAGTACTCTTTGTATGTACTTTTAGACCAACCCCTTTATAAGAGTCTAACAGAGTTTCAGTGGTCTTTACAGTTATTTATGTTTAGTAGCTTCATCAGCACCGAGTAGAAGCTGATCTGTCAAATTCAATTTCAATCACCTGTTGGATTTGTGGACATTTCTAATGACATAGACCATAGAATAAAATTAAAAAAAAAACAGCAAACAATTATGATTATGAGCTGTATCCGAAAAATGTGTACCTACATATAAAACACAACTGAAGACTCTAAAGGAGATCTGAAAATAACATCAAAGAGGATTTTAGGAGAAACAGTTTGTGAACGTTAGGGAGGTAGCTGGAATTACTAATAGCAGGGTTTGTGTTAGCTGTATTGAACCTTCAGATTCTATTATCAGTATTAATTTAATTGTTAATGTACAAGTTCATTTTGAACTGACTTACCTAGCTGCTGTAGGAACACAAGTAAATGAATCTGCAGAAATAATGCATTTAAATTCCTCAGAAAAACAAGGTCTTGAGGGCGTGTTATGTTCTACAGTTTCACAAGGCTCTTCATCTGATCTGTCTCCACAATCATCATCACCATTACAAAGAAGATTATTGTCAATGCAGCGACCATTGCTACAGGAAAATGCTCCAGATGCACAGGTCACAGGAGCTGAAATAATAATTTTAATTTAAGTTGTTTTAAATTTGTGTGTATTTGTGTCACATCACTGTTGTCCAAGAAACTAAGGTTCAGGTTAACTAAAATATGGTGAGCAATTTAATTAGGCAGCACCTACAGTAGTTCACATCCACTTACAACATATTTAGCAACAATTTTCATATTATCAGGTTATATCCAAGTAGGTGGAAGTATACGATTTAAAAAACACCAGGTACACAAATCAGCAATAGTACGTAACTGACTTGACCAAAGAATTCCTTTAAATTTAAGGTTGATTTTCATACACACCTCATAACCTTAAGGTATGGCATTTACGTTAAAAATAATAAATATGGTCGATTATATGCAAATTACTGAAGTTTTTCTATTTTAATACAGACAGTGAATATCATGGATTAAACTCATCCCTCTCAGTTTTTCTTTTTATTGCTAGTGGGGTGGGACTAAGTCCCTTGTACTGCAGCCACTTCTGGCCTATTGTACCAGCCCCAGATGATAGGCAAGGGTGATTGTGGAGCAATTGGTGGAATGAAGATGAAGAAAACCTGCCCAAGCGCCACTCTGTCCATCACAAATCCCACTTGACCAGACCTGGGATCAAACCCGGGCCGCTGCAGTGGGAAGCCAGCGATTAACCACTTGAGCTATGGGGTGGCCCATCCCTCTCAGTTACTTTCTGTTTACAACTTAAGATTACTCAGTCACTTTTCCCTCTCTTACCCTTTTCATGTTCCAGCATTGCCAATAGTTCTGGTTAACCAAAGCTAACCATTCATTAGGGAACACAATTCTGAATTAAAGTATTTCTCCATCTTTAGGAAGAGGCAGCTGGTTTGAGTGGTCTATGTTACAATACAGACTAGATACACGGTACACACTACAATGACTACATATATATGAAATACTGCCTTTCTCCAACTATGTTGCATACAGCATCAAGAAGAGTGTTGTCATGTATACCGGCTCTTACTTCATGTGGCACGACCAATACAAATATAAATCGGCAATTCGTCTTCTCATACTTGGATGTGATTCAGCAACAGCCTTATGTATAAAGGCCTAATTTAATATTCAGCCCTTATACATGCTAAGAGTTGGTAATAGTTACAAATAGAAACATGATGGTAGTGATAATGACAATGGAAGGCATCCCTGAGCTGGTATTGCAGTATAAATGTTTGCTGAAAAAATTCTTCACATGCTTCTGGGTAGCAAAACCAGTCAGTGTGTACTGCTACCCTACCAAGTTTAACATAACAAATTTAGCCATCCTCCCAGAACGTTTCAAGTACATAGCATATATATTTAGTGCAGCTGGTTTTAAGTCTGCTTAAAGGAATTTATATCAAATCATTAGTTTCTTTTCATAAAATGTTTCTTTAATCATGTTTAACTTTTGTAGTTTTTTGTATCGTCTGCTTTTTAAACTATTATATTTTGTTATACTAGACTCTACTCACTTCGTCATTTATGTGTCATGTACATATTATTGTTTAAGGTCTTATTTACATCTCTTGATTCAGCCATCGATGGACGAATGTTGGATTAAGTATACAAGTTCGTGTATGTGTGTGTGTGTGTGTGTGTAAGTTGTGATTTTCTTTCAAGTGTCCCTCAAAGGCTATAACATATAAGAGAAGGCCAGAAGTAAATAGTACAGCATGACACTGCAACAATTCCAGGTTGACAATTCAGCAAGATTTATGTTAGTTTACTAATCTGGATTAAATTTTTATATCTATTCCACCTCTTCATATTATCATTAATCTTAAGAGTAACAGCCTCCCTTTATTGGGCAATTATCTCACATAATTCAGTGCTCTCAATGATTCTTAACATTTGGAGGTTATGTATTACAGTAGTAATATGAAATGTGCACTGCCAGAGAACAGCCAATACTAGTCTCCAAGTGTAAAAGTTTTTAGAAGCAACGAATGACAATTATTTTGAACATGTTTAACTGTATTAACAATTAAAATTATGGGAACATAGTTACACTGGGGGGGGGACTACTGCTGAAACTGAATACATTTCAAGAGATTAATTTTATATGTAGGGGATAATATATTTTTACAATAGAATTCATACCACTAAATTATTTACAAATATCATAATCATCAAACCACAACACAACATATGATGGTTGTACATTTTACACAATATACACACACAATGTATGAAAACAGGCATAAATGGGCCAGCAGGGACAGAAAACCAGGCATCTGCCCCTCCATTCTTTTTTTGGGTAAAGAATCAAAATTAAAGAAGTATATACCCAAATATTAAAAAAAAAAATTGAAAGGATATGAGACATTTATTCAACTACCTTAAAAACTCTAATATTGATCATTAAAAATTGTCTTAAATGTCTTGAACACAAGTTTTTAAACAAATTTTCACTTTCATTCATTATGGCTACATACTTCACACTCAAATAGTTGAAAACCTTCCAAAACAACCATCCTATTCTACAAAAATTATAACTTTTGATGTGGATGACAAACTACACATAATCATATACTGAATAAAGCCAACAATGTCCACTTAACAAAGTTAAGTTTTAGGAAATTCAACTTTCTACTTCATGTGTACATACATCATCCAAAAACATTCCATTACATACTACTGAGCAACTTACCACAGTTACGTTCATCTGAATCATCCACACAATCTGACTGCCCATCACATACCCAGTCCTTATGAATGCATTGACCAACAGCACATCTGTATTCATCAGGTTTGCAAGTAGCTGCAAAAGAAATGGAAACTTAGATCCCAACAAGTTTCAAAATGTAGTTCATCACAAAACATTCGGTTTATTTCTTTGTGGTTTATTTAATGATGCTGTCGGTAACTCAGAACACACAGTATTGAGTGCTAGGACAATAAGCGAATAATAAATTGGGAAGATTCGGAAAGAAAGAGTCATGGCTTAATTTGAAATATTATCTTGGCACTAGCTTCGAGAAACTGTAAATAACCATGTAAAACCTCTCAGGACAGCCAGCTCTACCAAATGTGAAACAGAAGTGTTAAGCCACTTGTTCAATAACTTCCTTACCTTCAAAGCAGTCTTCTTCATCTGATCCATCTGCACAATCTACAGCACCATCACAGTGCAAGCTCTTGACAACACATTCACCAGACGTGCACGCAAACTGAGTATCTGATAAATCATATAATTATGAGCAATGAAACCAAACTGCACAGTACTTCAAACTGCAGCACTAAGTTTCCATACAAGAATGTTGGTGTTTCAATTTAAATACTACTGAATGCAATAAGATAGAAAAATAAATTTTAATCTAAAATTACATGGTCAAGATTACTGGGCTTTTTTAACTTTGTCCACCATCCAATATTCTAAAGAACATGGCATTTCAGAAACTGGATCTACACCTGAGATCAGAGTCTGTCGATGGAAAGCAACAGTAAAACATACAATAAAAACTGCAGGAATGCATCTGCAGTGTACATTTTTGTGCTATCTCCTACTGAAAAACAATGATTTACATCAGCAGCATAGACCTGAAACTGATGTGTCCCATTCAATTTCAGACCCAACTCATTTTATTGGACGTTCCTAATGGTGTCTTCTAAAGCGAAGGTGAAAAGCAATGATGATTAAGCATCTCTTTGTTTCAGACCATTATTAATAGGAAAGAGACAAATGTTTTCCTACACAGACTTTACTACAGGCTTAATTTAAACATATTTTAATAAACCTAGCAAGTCTCATGGGTATACCAAACTCAATGAGAATGTGGTACAATACTACACTCCTACCTGGCTTTCTTGGAGTCTTGATTAGCTTATGTACTATCTCACCTGAACTTCTTCCGCGCCCCGCCGACACTTCTGTCTCTCACAATTTTTCAANCCACCAGTAACTTATGAATGCAAAAAAATCTGTACAGTATTTGATCTGTTAAATTGAAACCCAGACTGATAATCCCTAATAATTTCTTCTACGTTTGCACTTAAACTTAAGAGGAGTAGGGTCACGTACTAAGAGCTCAGCTCTATATACTTTTATCTGCTTAACATCACTCGCCCTATGTACATTCAATAATTATCATGGATACATACTTGTTTATATTATATATTGTTTCTGTTATATTGGACTATTGTTTTTATCCTGGGTCCTAATACCTTGAAATGGATTTGTGGCATGTAAATAAATGAAATGAAAAGAACAGAAATAATTATTTCTGATTATAATTCTTCCGTCTATTCAAAACATGGGAATCTGCAAGCAGATCACCATTCTTACCCTTCACTAAGTTACTTCTAGGTTGGTAACCCTTCTTAATGCATTTATTCTCCTTTACTGGGCTCTAATGTTCTTGCTCTTACTATTCATTGCAAGCTCATTAACTCTGTCTTTCACATATTCCTTCTCTTTATTCATGAAATGCCTGCTGGCTTCATATTATTCAAGTTATCCCAATTTATTTGGCTTGGATCGTGTAACCATTGCAATCTGGCTTATTTCCTCTGATCCAATAGTTTCAAACATTCAACTAACCATCGCTTATGCTTTGTCAGTTCATAATACCCTGGAATCTCTTTAGCTAAAATTATTTTCTCTCTAATACTTTCCCAAACTTTATTAATATCCCAATCAGCATCTCTTTTCCAAACCTGCCAACCTATCTGAGATTTCAATCCAATATTGTCGCTTACCGTCTCTACATACCAAACCTTTTGTGCACCTCATTTACATACTAACAGTCTCTCCCAACTTTTGAAACCACCAAAAAATGATCAGTAGCACTTCCTTATATCTTTTTATTTTATAATTTACCATTTTTAATACAATCCAGTTTCTTGGCATTGTTCAAGGTTTTAATTTAACTGCATTTTACCACAAAGTGATTAAAAAAGTGCATGAACAGGATCTGTGGAGCATATGCTTACATCTTCATAAAATATATATATTCAAATATTTAAAATTAAAAATATGACATCTGCTGAAGAAATTAATGGGTGAAATAAAGCAGAAGGTCAAAAGAATTTTTAACACAAGACCTTGTACGAGGGTTGGAACTTTAATAGTGGCAACACTGCTGTAGAGACACCATGCAATGGAACCAAATAATGTTGCTTATACCACACGTTAGTTACATACCTGCCTTACCTTAGAGCAAACAGACTCTCCCTTCCTACATCACGCATATGCGCAGTGACAAGAACAGAATCTTGTGTTAGCTGGCAGTCTAATGTGGTGTTGTCATGACGTTTTTGAAACAGGAACAACGGAGTTGGATAAAGATTGAATGTGCCAGAGGCCGTAGAGCACGACAGTGTCATCAAGGTCTTCAAGAGGCTTGCGGGGAATCTGCATTGCCTTACAGAACAGTGGCAAGGTGGGTAAAAGCCTTCAATGAGGGATGCCAAAATGTGGCAGACACGCACCAGCCAGGTCATCCTAGTGTCAGCGAAGAAGTGTATGCTCTTTCTGCTTTACTGGAGAGTGATCAAAGCCATATGATTCATGAGCTGGCCCGAGAGACAGGATCAGCGCATACGACTGTGCTTCACATTCTGAAGGAACACCTGGGCATGAGAAAAATTGCATCACAAGGAGTTCCGCATGATTTGATGGAAATGCAGAAATGGCTATGATACAACGCTGCTCATAACCACTTGGAGCACTATGAGCGCAAAGGAGAGGCTTTCTTATGCCATATCATTACACTGGATGAGACATGGGCCAAATCATACAAGCCACAAATGAAACGCCAATCGAACGAATGGCGTCATTATGGGTCACCACAAAAATCAAACGTTTGTCAGAACCCCAGCAATGTGAAAGTTATGGCGATTCTCGTGTATGACTTTGATGGTGTTATCCTAATGCATACCATCAATGAGGAGTATTACTGTTCATTTTTGGAATACAACTTGCGACCAGCTTTGAGAAAGAAGTGGTGACACTTTCTGCAGAATCCACCTATCATTTTGCAGGACAATGCTCGGCCACATGCAGCGCAAGCTGTGGCTGATTTGTTGGATTTATGGGGCTGGGAAGTGCTGTACCATCCACCATACTCCCCGGACTTGAGCCCTTGTGACTTCGACTTGATTCCTAAGATGAAGGAACCACTTTGTGGCATTGGTATTCAGAACTGTTCCAGACATTCTTCAGGCAGTAACCGCTCCATTCGAACTATCAACACAACAGGCGCTGCTAAAGGTATCCTAAGACTTCCACGTCACTGGCAACAGGTTGTACACATTGCTGGTGACAACACTGAAGGGCAGTAAAACTTTGAAACATGTATCTATTTTGTATCAGTTGCAGATAAATAGTTGCCACTATTAAAGTTCCAACCCTCAAACAAAGGCAATAAAACGTTTATATACACCACAGTTAGAATCCAGCAAATAAACTGCTTTTTACAATGATGGTAAAACTTACCCTTGTCACATTCTACAGGCTTGCAGTTAAATTCATCACTTCCATCCAAACAGTCCTTGTCACCATTACATTTCTTACCAATTGAAATGCACTGTCCACTGTTACAAGCGAATTGGCTATCTGAACACTTATTTGACTTGCAGTCTAGTTCATCTTCACCATGTGGGCAGTCACGTTTTCCGTCACACCTATAAATTTGTAGTCAGTGTCAATGGCAATTACATTCAGTTTTTCAGTTATATTTCAAAAATACCCTAAAAATTTGGGTCTTCTTAGCTCAGGGGACAGTGTCTGATTTGAACCCAGAGAGCCAGGACATGATCCACGGCAAAAGCAATTTTGAAATCTAATTACTATTACCCAAGGTAGCTCACAAATGTTAGAATACTTTAATTAAATGAGTTACAATACTTGCTGTTACACTTTTCACAGTAACTATATGACACAGAAACCCCCTGACATTGATTATAGAGTAGCTGTACTACTGGTTTTTGGTTAATCTGGCTTGCATTCACCTACAAAAATGTGCCCACTGTTTAGAATAACTTGCATGTCATTTTATTAAGTATATATTCTTGCTAATCCTTTCACACTAAAGTTAAGTATAGGTCAAGTATCTGATATATTTTGAAATTTCAAATTTGTTGACATAAAACATGCTTAACAAAAGAGCACAGCAGAAGCTTTGCCTGCATACCATAAGAACTGCTTGGGTCAAAGACAAATGTATTTTTTATCGGTGGTTTAAACAGAAACGAAAAATGAAAGATAATTCATTAAAATTTTAAGCTCAAAGGCTTGGAAAACTTCCTGAACTTGAACGACAAGCCTCTCTGTTTTTAAAATCTTAAGCTTTGTTGGTTATGGTGATTTGAGAATTGTTTCAAGATGAAGGGAATTAGAAATATGATCCATATAAAAATCACTTCATGTTACACATTCTCCATCTGTATCAATGTAATGTTGAAAAGAAACAATACTGCCATTATATACAGGTTACATTTGTAGGCATATCCAGCAGAAGGGATTATAAATGAAATAATAAAGACTAATTCTTCCCTAAAAATAAACATTAAATTCATAAGCAACTACTCAATGTGAGGTGATATTACAGTTGGTAAGAGGCCAAAACCATAATGAATGAATAAACAGTAAAAATTAAGGCTTCAAAATCCGTAATTATTACACATGCTAAACAAATATGTAGAGAAGTCATACATTATACTGTAATACACCAATACATTAGGAAATAAAATATGCTATACTTTAATATTGTCTAAAGTCATTCATTTCGTGTTCCTTCTTTACTATGACTCTTCTGGAGGTCGTGGTTGACTGCTAAATACTGAAGTTCAAAATTGTAATCGTAACATCCATCCTATACAGGATGTCCCAGTAGTTTGGTGCCACACTTCAGGAGCATACTGAGGGTTCCCTATAGATTAACTTTGAAATAGGAACCCATGTCCATAAACATAAAATAGCAGTGCTAGGGTGGCATTTAAAATCATTTCATTTAAACTTAGCGCCTCAATGTTGAACTGCATTGCATAGAGGAACAGCCATCCACCAGCACTCATGCCATTGCCAAGATTGTGGGGACATCAAAATCAAGTGTTTGGAGGATCCTGTAATAACAGCAACTTTATCCGTATCACCCAATACAAGTACACGGCGTAGGTCCAGTTGACTTTGTACGAGTTAATTTTGTCAGTGGATACTGAACCAGGGTTTACATCAGCCCAACTTCCTGAATCACATGTTATTCACAGACGAAGCGCAGTTTACAAGGGATGGTTGGTTCAACTGTCAAAACAGCCACGTTTGGGCTGATGAAAGCCCCATCGTTACTGTAGCTGGTTACCACCAGGCGCAATTTTTTGTCAATGACTGGGTGGGTATTATTGGCGGTCACTTGACTGGGCCTTTCCTCCTACCACCACTACTCAATTGGCCCTTTTACAAGGTGTCTGGAACGTATCCTCCCAGCTTTGCTAGAAGACGTGCCACTGATTGTGCAGAGGCAAATGTGGATACACCATGACGGAGCGCCGGCGCACTTCAGCATTGTATCACGAAACTACCTGGATGCTGCTTTTCATGGTCATTGGATAGGAAGAGGAGGCCCAGTGCCTTGGCCACCCCAATCCCCAGACTTGACACCTCTGGACTATTCCATCTGCGGCCATATGAAAAGCCCTAGCACTGCTATTTTACGTTTGCAGACATGGGTTCCTATTTCAAAGTTGTTCTAAAGGGAACCCTCAGTATGCTCCTGAAGTATGGCACCAAACACCTGGGACACCCTGTATATTTAAATTAGCTGACCATACTCTAATTTCGACTTTTTTTTTTAATTTTCAGGGTACTTTCAGTAACAAAATCCTAGTGTTTTCAAATATTTTGTCATTAACTACTACATCCTTCACTGTCTACCATCCTAATACTTCTTGATAATAGTAAAAATTTAAGTTTCAAATATTATACAATTACATTATGACAGCAAAAGAGGAATATAATAAATTTTTGTTTTTCTAATTCTTCTATCTATAATGACATATACAAGGGAAAATGCAAAACATACCTCTTCTTGGCAGGAATACAGATGTTATCAGTTATGCATTTGAACATATCTTTAGAACAGTGAACAAATGCAGAACATGTTTTATTATCAGGAGTCAGCCTCATTCCAAGTGGGCACAAACAAACCTGCAACAATTTACATTTGGAAATAATCTAGAAGGAACCTGAAGGATCATTCTTCAAACTTACATAAACAATTGATACCACTTCATTAACCAATAAAGTTATACAGACATTGGCTATGATTGACTGGGAAATAATGGAATAACTGTTATGTTCCCATGCCTCTGTCTGGAAATTCAGCTAAATGAAAACAAAAAACAGAGGAAGGACACTGCACATGGTTTCTCACGTGACTGACCCTGACTACTTGGCTATGTTACACAGAACTGTTTCTCATTTAGTAGACTACTGCTTGCTGCCAAATACAAAAAAAATTAAATTAATCTGACCAGTAAAGCACATTTTGAGAAAACTGGCATTTACTTTTGGGGCCCTAGCATGCATATCATTACTTTCCTGAAGATATCATCCATGCAGTTTTATTTAGGGATATGTCTCCATAAATTACTGAGATATAATCAAAATTATTAGGACATTTTGAGAAAATGGCCATTTTGTGCTTTGGGGCTAATCTGAACAGTCCTAATTTCTGAAGGCAGAATGTTCAGATTGACCGGGCACAAACTTTGGATGGACAAACTTAAAATACTGAAATGAACAAAATCCATCTCAGCATTCACACATGATTCAGGCATACCTACCTACCTACCTACATTACACACATACATATTCATTCATTCATTCATTCATTCATTCCAACACATAGTGGTACATACATACGGTTATAGACAGACAGATTGCATGCTACAAACTACTGTGGGAACCACTAACATTCAAGCAAACGTTACAGTGGCAGCTCAAGTATCATTGCTTGAATGTGGGCAGTTCTCACACCACTTTTTGTATTCAAGGAGGTCTGAAAATTTCGAAGTCCATAAGAATACTTCGAACTGATTTTTCATCATCAAAATACAGAGCAGACCAAAATTCATTTAACCTAAAATAGTCTCTCATATTAATGGGAATTCTCAGATTTCAACCTGCCAGTCAATTTGCAAAATGGTATCAGAGCATTGTAAATTCACTGAACATGGAGGATCTCATTTCAAACAATTTTTGTAAATTCGGTAAGAGAAAATACTAATGTATTTTAATGCATATTTTACTAACCAGTTAACTAATTTTTGGGCCTTCCTGTACTTTCTCATATGTAGTATATGCAAGAGGAATTGAAAAGTATTCCTTACTTCTTGCTAAACTTTAAGAAGGCTGTGTCATCCAGTTTTTACTATATTCACTGCCATTTAAAACACCCCCACCTCTTCAGTTACAATTGAAATTTACAAATTAAAATTTGTTTTACTTACTGCGCGTTTTGGAACTGCTGCACAAATATGGCTGCATCCTCCATTCTTTCTGTGACACGGATGATTTGGTTTTGCCCGGGTGCTACGTACTGCTACTAACTTGAGTGCATTTACATCATTATCTAAAATAAAGCAGTTTCTTAAATACTGTGTGCTGAATGAATCCATATTACAGACATTATCTATGCAGTAAAAAAGGTAAAGCTATCCTTGTAAGAGGTGTCAGAGGCCCATAGGGTTGTGAGACATTGAGGGTCCCACATTATCTAGACAATCGGCTCAAAGATGGCAGCAAGGTTGTCAGCCTTACATGCTGGCTGCACTTTATGCCCCCCCCCCCAGAAAATTCCTGATAACTCATTTCTGTTAGAGGCTGAGTTGACCGCAGTGCCATAATGCAGCTGGAAGGATTAGGTCAATTGAAAAAAATCCAATGACCTCAACAGGACTTTAACCCGTGACTTTCCGTCTTGTAGCAGTGCCTCACTCAACTACGCTACTGCGTGCCAGATACCTATACAGTAAGCATCCCAATTGTATAATTACTGCTGACCAAGAACACTACCCTCATACTTTTCTTCATTCCTTCATAATTCATTCTTAGCTCATTCTCATTTTGAAAAATTAAAATTAGGCTTATGAGATCATCTTGTTCACGTGTGTGTCTGTGTTGAGTCTGTGTTTGTCTGCATGTGAAATCTCTTTCTCCCAGCCACGTTTGAATGCTTCAGTGGATCTTCATTGAAAGCTGACGAGTTCCATCTCACCTAAGCCATCTCAATGGCATACTTCATAAATCTCACCTATCAGTAATATCAATACTGCAGGCTCTGAAACTTATTGTTTTACAGACATTATACATGCATACTGAATTTTTTTCTGCCTGTCATATCAAATACCCAAAGTATGGTGAAAGGAAAGTAGGCAATTAGATCTTCCCAGAGCTTTACAAATTAACCCTTACAGCAGCCCAGCTTTTATATTCATGGCCAACTATATCATAAACTTGACATTTCTTAAATGCATACAGAAATAATTCTACCATATTTACTTTTCAACTCAGCTGGCTTCCAATCCTGTCTACAACCCATTGAGGAAGGTAGTCTTCTACTTATACACTGCACATCTGTGGTCCACCATTATACCTTCCTCTCTGTACAATTTATAATTTTTATTTCAACATATTTTTCTACATATAATCTGACAAAACCCATTGCTTCAGGTCCATAATTATTCCAAAATGCAATGCACTAACAGATTTTCTATTACCAAAAGAAAAAAAAATAAGGGATTTTCAAACCTGGGCACACCAGATCCATAACTACAAAGGAAAACTGGGGATGAATGTACATATACTTATAACACTAAATATATACTATAACTTATAACACTCACCAATACGTATTCGCTTCACTCTACTATGACCATTGTATTTATTCACCCAGTAAATGTAAGGAAGTCCCCAGTGTGTCCAAAACATATCATGAGCCAGTGATGAAATATCATAAGGAGAACCAATTTCAGTTCTGAATTTATGTTGGTCCATACCTGTCAAAAAATAAAATATGATAACAGTACACAAGGGAGCCTACTTATCACTAATCTCAAAATGAATATTTCTAACGATAGCTTGGGTCAATGCAAATAAACACATGCATTTTCACTTAAAATTTTTTTGTCTGTTACATTTATCTTTTATGTAATAAAAATTACTCAATGAATTATGTATGCAGTTTCTTTAGTGAGTATATCAATACATAACAGAGATTATTTAATGACTGACTTGGCATGGCTTTACCACTGTGTGCACTCATTGCATTGGTTGCCTCCTTTTCCTCAGCTAATCACGTAACATTTAGAATGCAGTGACATTATATAGTGAAGGTTATTAACCTACTTGTAATATATGCCTTACAAATCTCTCAGAATTAAATTTCATCTGTATAAAACTTAGGGCACACAATCATCCTTGCAATGAAGATGCACAACATAACTTTTAGTGATGTTGCACTGTGGGCTACACACAATAGACCAATACAATTCACGGTGCAAGGGCCAGCAATTTGGCTCACTCCTTATTTACTCGTACATTCCCTGCTGGCTTGCTCCAATTTGATACAAGTCATTAGAATTAGGTAAACTGCATAATCAGTTATTAAAAATATTAAAAAGCCTGAAGTTAGAATGAAATGACATTAACAATATACATCTACTAAACAAAGGATCAGTCCTATGCAGAGGCAAATGTGAACAGCTGTGTATGGACAACCTCTCAACAAATACTAAGGAGACCGCTGCAGACAGGTCTTACCATTATAAATATTTCATTATCGAGTTCTTCTAAAACCACAGTATTTTATCTTCCTATTCTGAGCAATATATCTGTGAATAAGGCTAGTTATTACACACTAACAGAGAAGGAAGGATGCTTTAACCTTTAAACGACTAAAGACACCGTATGTCGTCGCAGATAGTAAAGGCAGCGGTACGAATGACGCCATGTGGTGTCGCACAGTCCGCGTGTGCGGACGTTATTTTAAAATACATGTTTAAGGTAGAAAATAATGTCCTACTTATATAATTTTTGGCCACCATCTGCATGGAGTGTCTGTCTTCCCACCTGCGTCATCTGCTGGAATGTTGCCTTCGTGTGGAATTCTAAAAAAAANTACAATATCTGATTCTATATTCTTTCGAGAAAAAAACAGCGTTTATTTCGTTCGATTATCACAGAAATAGCAGAAATAGGAGCAAAATTAGTAAGTAACTTACAGCTCTTACGGATATCTAAGAGCGGCCCTTTAAATAATTCCGTACCGCTCACAAAGCCTAAGTTTAAAGGGCAGTAGGATAAAGGTTAATTATAATAATCTCATTACACTGACTTAATTCAATATTACATGCCTAAGTAGAATGAAAAATAGAATGCATGTTAATTATTTCCTCACAACTATCTAGAAGATGATATGATTTGAGATAAAGTTACAGGCATATTGACTGTAGCGTCACAGAATCTGTCACCACTCTGCCTATGCTTTGGTTGCAGAAGATCTGTACTGTAACATAAATTGGTTAATACATGGAAAGCGCTTCCAGTCACACATAGTAAATATGATTTTATTTAAGATGCCTGAGAAATAAATATTCAAATGTATAAAGAGAAAATTAACAAATCTGGTGCTAAACCAGTACTGAATGAAGTATGTCCACTGAATGAACAATCGAAACCAATAGCATTACACAGAGTTGCTGGAAGAAAAAACAATTACCTGTCTTGAAACAAGACATCTGTTAAATGCTGCCATTAAGTTATAAAACAGCAAGTGGTGCAATGTTTAAATTACCATGTTACAGTGGTTGTATGCTTTTTTGTGCACAAGGTCTGACAATAAAGTTCATGAACCTCACCGTCATGTGCTTGTCATTGCAGCAGTGGACAGAAACCTCAGTATGGTTTTATGAAATTGGCATATCAGTTTTTCACAGCTGTATTTTTGTTGATCTATGGCAGTCTATTTCTGAGTGGTCTCTATTATTGTCTGAGTGTGTTTTTGTGTGCCATCATGAGAATGTCAGAGCTTCTTGTTAAAACTGGCAAGACTGGAAGCGAAATCAGAGAGATGATACTGCAAGTTTATGGGGATAATGCTATGAAGAAAACAGCAGTTTACAAGTGGGTGACACGTTTTTCTGAGGGAAGAGAAAGTGTCACTGATGAAGAGAGATCAGGATGGCCAGCGACAAGAAGAACTGAAGAAAACATTGCAAAAGTTCGTCAAATTTAAGATGAAAATCATTGGCTGTCAGGAGCATAGCAGGGCAAGAGAACATCGAGATAGAAACAGTTAGGAAAATATTAACTGAAGATCTTGACATGAGGAAGGTGTGTGCAAAAATGGTTCCAAAGGAGCTCACTGTCTGTGAGGAAGTTTTTAGCTAACAAATAACTGTACTGGAACACCCTCCCTATTCACTTGATCTAGCCCTCAATGGCTTTTTCTGCTCCTGAATATAAAGGAAATATTGAAAGGAAGGCATTTTGATGACTGATTACATCAGGAGTAATACAATGGCAGATCTGAAAACCATTCCACAAAACCAGTTCCAAAATTGTTTCAAAGGATGGACTAGACACTGGCATCGGTGCATAGCTTCCCAAGGGGAGTACATTGAAGGCTACCAAACTGATATTCAGCAATGAGGCATGTAGCACTTTTACCACAATGAGTTGAACTTCACTCTCAGACCACGTACTCTTTTTTACTTATTGAAAGGTGTTATGAACTAATAGTGCTAACCTATCATAAAACACTGCAGTACAACTAAATTCTTAGTGGTACGCCTAACAGCTTAAAAATAATGAAACAAATAGTTGTGTAGAGTCTAAGAGAGAATCAGGGCCATGAGAATCTGAAATGGCATTCTCTTCTCCACTATAAAAACCGATAGATGTGGCACAGAAAATTGATCTGTTTGGTTAGATAAATTATGTATTTCATGAGTTAAGTACTATTGGTTAACAATTACAACAATGCTGGTTTACAGCATGTGTTGAATTAATATCCTCTACTGCAAGGTTATGTTATGATATGTAGGTTTTGCTGCAGCCAAGGCAGGGGCAGTGGAGATCTCATACTGATGGTTAACAACTTACTTTGCCTCATCTAAACTTATAAAACCTCTCTAATGCCCAGAAGGCTCACTTGTGCAACTTCCAGAAATGTTACTGTCACTCTATGTATGAATTCATATTGGTCATTCTTTTGTGTTGGCATTTAAAATATAATGTTAATTAAACTGTCTTGAATCTGTGAACAGTATTACAGTTTACATAAATGAGAAGACTTAACACTGATGTTTCAATGGTGACTGCACAGTTCAATTATAACATGGGATTATATTTTTTGTATCACACCATAGTGCGAGAAGTTTCAGCTGTCTGGAATAACAAAGGATGAACATGGACTAATGTTTCTGAACAGCAATGGTAAATAATTTTTTTAACTCCATTATTCTTACCATCTACTGCTGCACTAGAAATCTCTTCCTTTTTTGGATCAGTCCAGAAGATCCTGTGCAATTCCTCATCATAGTATAATGAAATGTCTGGACCACCCAAACCAGTCTCAACTACGTGAATACGGCTTCCTTTGCCATCCATATTCAGACGATCAATATGAGGTCCGGTCCCTTTAAATGCATGGCGAGAAAATGCTACAAACATTATTCTGAAACAGTAAATAAGAATATCTGAAGTCTGTTTGTAAACTGATTGCAAGTTTATGGTAATCAATGAAGTGTTCTAATATCTAAGAAATTAAACAGTCATCTATTGTCCAAGATGATGTAAACTTCTATATATGAACATTCAAAAAAAATCTTCCAGTTCCTAAAAGCAACAGGAATAGATCAAAAGAAAGAACTGTCAACTCAAAATTGATATTGAAGTTGAGACATTATAACAGTAAAATTAAACCACAACATTTATATTATGGCAATTTTATTCATGGTTTAATTAAAGATGTTATTAGTACAGATTTTGGCCTTCTGTGTTGTGACCCCACATAATCTTGTAGGTAGATACATTTCAGAGAAACATGTTACCCCAACTTTCAGGGTATTCCAGAGGAATTTATACCTTAAAGATGGAGCATCATATTTCTTCAAAGAGTGGTAACCACCTATATGAAAACACAATGTCATAACCCACAAGACCACACTCTGAATCCATGAAAACCTTACATCTCATATACAGAGTGTTTCACGACTTTAGGGCATAACTGCAGGAGGTGATTTCCTAGGCCTTTGTGATCAAAAAAGTTCATGTAAACATGTGTTCGATTTTGGACAGTTACGGAGTTATGACCGTTCTTTCATTCCCGTACACGCCCTCATGTGAACCGCGTCTATCATCTGGCAGGTCACTATTTTTAGCCAGCTACAGACAAAGCATTCTCGTTATCTCGACACTTGAGAGGTACCTAAGGCGTGGTGGGTTGGTATGTCCAGCCACGACTAGTGTGGCCGCTACTGGTGTTCACAACAGTTCTCATCTCAGTACGTCTGTTACATTCACGATGCCATTTACATTTTCATTTGAGGAGTATGCAGATATGATTTATGTGTACAGGTTTTGTGACGGTAACTCAGTTCTTGCCATAGCTGAATATCAGCAATGGTTTCCGAATCGTAGAATACCGAACCGGAGAGTGTTTACTGGAGTTTACCAGGCATTGCGAGATACTGGTAGACTTCCCGGCGTTCGTATTGCAGCCGAGCGTGGTGTTAATGAAGGCATCAATGAAGAAGGCATTGTTCATATGGTACACCACAGTCCACATACAAGTACGTGAAGAATTGCCAGCCAGGTCTCCAGACTTAAGACCACTGGATTATTGTGTGTGGGGATGGATGAAAGAACTGGTTTAAAATGTGAAGGTGGCAACGCGAGATACTTTGCTCGGTCGCATTCTGGACGCCACTGACCACATAAGAAACAGCCAGCTGAAGCTGCTACGTGCTACCTGCATGGTTCACAACCGAGCGGCAACCTGTGTTGTGGCCGAAGGTGGAATTTTCGAAAATCAGCTTTAAGCACCAATAAATTCAAATTAAAGGTAATTTTACAAAGTTAACTTTACATTCACACTTTAAATGTATCATATATTGTGCTGGTTTATTATTTTGCTCCATTTATTGTCAGCAATCGTTACCTTCTATTCTGAGTTTAAAACAGTCATAACTCCATAACCGTCCAAAATCGGACACATGTTTATATGAACTTTTTTGATCACAAAGACCTAGGAAATCACCTCCTACAGTTATGCCGTGAAGTCGTGAAACACCCTGTATATATCACAAGACCAACACTGTTAAGTCTCGATATTGACAGTATCAACAAATATCCCTATAAAAAGCATTAGTTAAAACTTACTTAATATATTAACTACTTTAGGATAAAATTTATGTTCACCAAACTGACCAAATCAGCTGATGAAAATCAGGTATTAATGATTGGGTAGCCATAATGAATAGACAAAGAGCTGTTAGAACCCTCATGTTCCTTTAATTGTTCCTGACCATTTTCTGAATAATGTACCATTCCAAAGAAAAATGTCTCCTTTAATTTCCTCCCCACCATCAACACTGTGTAATGAGTGACCCAGGAACTCCCACATTTTTCTTATTACTGACAAATCAAGCGTCTTCACTAGAATTTTTATAGAAGATATTGTGACAGAATATGATCCACTGGTAGGCAATGAGTCACTAAACATATTCTCGAGGAAAGAAATACACAGGCAACAATAGAAAACTGCCATGTCTATGCCTACGGCCAGTGAACACCTTCCCCCCTTAAGCGTATAACAATACACAATGACACTGTTTATGAGGCAATTGCATGGTAACACATCTATACACTAACAGAAGAGGTTTTCTATGTGGTCTGTACTGCAGCTATATAACAAGAGCTGAGCTGTAGGATTGGAGAGAATTGGAATAGGGAGTCAAACACGATCAAGAGAATGGGAATATAACATCATGCAATGATGTTCACAGAATAACAGAGTTCAGTGGGGCGTACAAGGACAGGAGAGAATAGCAAAAGGACTATTTCTGAAGTTGGAGGATCAGCAACAGCGCTATAATTGATTGTGATTAAGAAAAATTGTAAATGGAGGTGTTAAATCCAATCATCAAATCCAGAACCCATTATTATTTGTCATGGAACCCCAGACATGTGACAATATTAAGAATGACAGGGGAACACAATACTTGCGAGCTGTACATATATACTTATATATGTATATATATAACTCTGGGAAATTACCCTTCCTCTGAGACAACAGCAACATCAAGAGGAACTTCTCCTTCTGAACTGTGAAGCAATACAGTCTTTTCTAGTGAAGAGAGGCTCATTATCTCCACAGCTCCCTTTACACCATTACACACGTACAAATTATTTCCCATATAATCTGAAAGTAATATTAGAACATTTAACATATATTATTTATGAATTAGCATTAAAAACAAAATTCAAAATATGACCAATATCTGCCAGTTACGTGACCACTGATTAAAATTATGCCATTTCTTCACAAGATTGTCATATTTCAGCAGTTGTGTAATCAGACTAATATCAGTGTTTATACAAATAGAAAAGCTTTGGAACAAATACATTCCTGTTTATAACAAGTGCACCACAGTGATCTTGTGATCCATCTAAATATCAACACTATGACAATTCCATTTTAATTAAAAAGACCGACAAGTTTGAATTTATTAGAAAGCACTTACAGATCAAAAATCAATGACAGTTTAACGATTCTTTTTCCAGTTGAAATAAAATACATATATTTAGAAGTCCACTACTGTTCACCTCACTGCACTTATCTCAATAATTTCAGAGTTATAGGTAAAATTTCATATAAAGATACAAAGAAAAGTTTGAACATGTTTGTAATGTAAGCCAAGACCCCTTGAGAAAATTCAAATTGCTTCCATATCCACCACAACACTTAGGGATATCAACCTGTTTTAATTACAAAGCAATTACACAACAATTACACAGCAGTTATGCCCACTTTACCTCGTGCACTTGCGTGATGTTGAACTTTATGTGTAACATGTCTCTTAATTTTGTACTAACAGAAATGCAAAGCCAAACTTAACAGTCAGGTTAATATGCAGTCTGACCACAAAGCTCTAACATATACTAATCAAGTTTCTCCTTTACATCATACTATCATTCAATTAACATGAGTATATAAAATTCAGATTAACTGAATTTCCATTTTTAACATGGAAGCAATAAGCATGTATTATGAAAATGAACTATCTAAAAGAGAAATTAAATTACATTTGTCTCATGTTCAAATCCTGGCAGATGAAGTATCTGTAGTAAAGGCAAATACAAAACATATGACACCTCTTCTGTTCCATAATGTTCAACATACACTGTTCTGCTTGAAGGTGGAGGGTAGGACAGATGTAACAGAAATACATACACCTTCAAATAAGATCTTAAATTTTAACTTACTTGCTTATAAGAAGACTAATAAATAAAAACACTTATTCATGTGTTTACTGCTAATATGTACTATGCGAGTTACTTATGGAAAATGGAATGCTCAGTGGTAGAGTTTCATCAATGTGATATGCAAAGCATACAGCAAAAAATCTCAACCACATATTCAGTTATCTTCATCTTACCCACATTCTCATGTTTCTACAGCATCATTACAAATATTAAGTTTTCATTTACAATATAATGTGTGCTTATATAATGTGTAGAAAATAATTCAGTGAAAAGAAACACTATTACCAGCAAAAGTAAACCATAATACTCTTCTTACCACATTATTCACATATTTGCTTTTGCTCATTTCTTCCAACTTACCGAAGTCCATTGAATCGATACTTCCAGTTACTGTTGTCAGATGGTGTAATACTGTTCTCGGTACGATACTGAGTGTGAATAGCATGTACTGCTCAGAATCAAATATGATTACATATCCTGAAAAATTCAAAACACTGTCAAACTTCAGAATCATAATTGAAGAAATCCCTTTACCTCTCAACAGTTCTCACTGCATGCTTTCAGAATTTGTTTTTGAAACAAATATATTTTAAAAGTTCCTAATGCAAAAACTGTACTATAATATTCAAACATTTGTTAAAAACTACAGACCATGTCATATTATGTAGTTTGTACACTTGATATTCTATATGGAGACTCTGAATATACAACAATTAAAACATAACCACATTCCTTCAAGAATGACGAACATCGATGTGCCCACAAGAGAGATGCATTTCAGGTTTTAAAGGTAATCCACATAAAATGTTAGGGTTTCATTTTGGTTTGGAGAAATGTGTAGTTGTAGAAAAGGTCTTCGTCATCAGGGTTAAGTGATGAGAATGAATGGGAAATGGTTTATATAAGTGAACAGTAGGCAATAAAATAAATATTTTTTAATTATCCTTTCAATCCAGAGAGTACTGTATATCTAATCAAGGTTTTCCCAAATTCACAGTGGATCTGAGTATAAAGATGGATTTGCAGTTCCTGATTCTGCACAACCAGCACTGGCAGTAGCCTGTAGCCACAAGAATTTTTTGCAAAATATTTTAAAATGCAACTTTATAAAAATAGTCATAAATTATGTAATAAATTAAAAACTATTCTGGACAATGAGAAGAAAATCTTTACACCTGTGCTATTTCCAAAACTTCAGTAAATGAACTATGTGCAGTGATTGCAATGTAGATTCTTTGTACTATGTATGAGCAATCATCAGACCTTTCATAAATTTTCTAATGCAAAAGCAATATATAATACTCACCTGTAAGTGAATCATAAGTTACAGCCCCAATTGTATGGATCAGTGTTAATGACATCTCATAAAACGTTTGTCTTCCTAGAACTTGGTGACCAAGAGCAAGAAGTTTATGACCTCCTGCTGCCATCATCAGCTCATGTCTGTTTGCTCTCTCTGAAAGAATAGTTAGCAACACAACAATTACCTTATATGCATAAAGTTAGAATACACTGCTTATATGCCAGAAAATACAGCGTGTTCCATTCAAACCTCCCACATTTTAATTAATCATTGCAAACAAATTGTGATAAATCATGAATTATAATTAACACTAGATGAAATAAATTTCAGTTTTCTTTCAGTGAGGTTACAGTATCTGGCAGCATACACCTTGACATGTTAGAACAGTTCCTGTACCCCCAGGTAGCCGATCTGCAGCCTAACATAATCTTCCAATAAAATGGAGGCCCCCCCCCCAAATTGAGGTCTGGATGTTCGGAGGTCCCTCAATGCCACCCACCAATCTCGCTGGATTGGACATGGCAGACAAATTCTGTGGCCACCATGTTCACTGGACCTCATTCTGCTCAATTTCTTCCTCTGGGGTTACGTGAAGGACCATGTGTTCATGACTCCAGTGAATGACCTCCCGGATTTACGAGCCTGCATCCATGAAACAATTGCTACTGTACCAATGGCCATGTTGGAAAGAATGTGGCATGAAATTGAATACAGACTGGATATTGTTCATGCCACCAGTGGTGCACATGTAGAGGTTTATTAGTGTCTCAACATTTTTTGGGTTGTTCTTATATTTCCTATAGCTCCATTTTCTTACCAGTCATGCTTCTGTTCTAAGATCTGATAAAATGTGGGAGGTATTCTGTATTCTGAAATACTGATTGAACCAAGAATCATCAATCTCCAGCCTCTAGACAGTCCTTCAAATTTCAGTCAGACCAAGAGGATTTCTCCAAATTCTACTGGATCCAGTGGATCCAACATAACTCACCATAGCACGTATGTTTATCTGCTCCAAGAATTTGACTCTCTCCGCAGGCACAACTATAGGTTTTATTTGGAGCCAGAACACAAATTTCACTGCAAGGTGCATTCTTACATGGATTCTGGAACTGAACAGAGGAATAAAGCATTATAAAGCATCAACTCTAATAGCGTGGTACTCAACTTCATGGAGCTGAGCCCGTCTTGAGAAGCTGACAGTCACACAGCTATTCAAGAACTTTCCCAACACTTCACGGAACCCAAATGTTCATTACCACATTCACAAGAGCCTTCCACTAGTCTCAATCCAGTCCATACCACCCCATCCTATTTCTCTAGGATACATTTTAATACTGCCCACCCACCTACATCTTGGTCTTCCCAGTGGTCTCTTTCCTTCTGGATTTCCCACCAATATCCTATATGCATTCCTCTCCCCCCCCATTTGTTCTACATGTCAATCCATCTCATCCTCCTTAACTTGATTATTTTAATTAAATCTGGCAAAGTGTACAAGTTATGAAGCTCATCATTATGCAGTTTTTCCAACCTCCTGTCACTTCATCTCTCTTTTGTCCAAATATTTTCCTCAGTACACTGTTCTCAAACATCCTCAGTTTATTTACTTCCCTTAATGTCACAAATAAAGTTCCACATACATACAGCACCAGAGGCAAAATTATAGTTATGTGTACTCTAATTTTTATGTTTTTAGACAGCAGATAAGATAATAGATTCTGGAATGAATGGTAGCAAGCATCACTCAAATTCAACCTCCTCTTAATTTCTCCTGAATCAAATTTTGATTTGTTACTGCCCTTCCCAAATACTTGAACTGTGCCACATTTACAAAGGAACTGTTAACTACATGTCATGATTTTGCCCTGCATTCTGGTGATGAGACAGCAACATATACTTAGGATTCTCTGCATTTACTTGCAGACCAACCCATTCACTAGTGCTAAAGTTCCTGTGTTTTTCTTCATGGTATCTGTGTTTATCTCCCAGTAGATTCACATCATCAGGGAGCAGCAGCTGATGCGTCTCATTTCTAATGGCATGGTGTAACAGAAAAATATGTCGTTTATACTGATCATTTAAATATGAGAACCTCAAGAAAAAATATGGTACGAAAAGGAATAATTTGCTGGAGACATAGTGACAAGTCTTGCTAATGAAATGTATTAAAATCACCGTTTTCCTGTTGGACTTTGATAGTAGCCAAATTCTCTGTGTCAAAGATTCAATAACTTCAATAATATGCCAGTCATCCTTCAGCCCAAAGAAGATTCCTGGTATTCATTTCTGTTAGAGACTGAGTCGACCTCAGGGCCATAGTGCAGCTGGAAGGATTAGGTAAATTGAAGAAATCCAATGACCTCATCGGGAATCAAATCTTCAACCTTCGGACTTGTAACATAGTGCCTCAACCAACTACGCTACCGCATGCCCAGGATGGTGCAGTCGGTAGAGTGACTGGTTATGGCGTGAATGGAGGGGTCGGAGTTCAAGTCCCAGTGGGGTCAAGAATTTTCTTTGCTCCACACTGTCCAGACCAGCTCTGGGAACCACCCTGCCTCCTATCCAATAGGTACCAGGAGCTCTTTCCCCAGGGGTAAAGCGGCCAGGGTGTGAAGCTAATCACTCGCCTCCAGCTAGTGCCAAGGTCAAGAAAATGTGGATCTCTACATCCACTCCCTCATATGCCTTCATGGCATAGTGCTTAATTAAGCACACGTCAACTTTACCTTTAGCTGTTCATAGAATGTAAGTACAAGAAACAGTAATCCTTCCATAGCAAAATCTGATTATATATTGTAGAAATTAATGTGTACTTGTTGAAATGGGAAGTGTGGAGGCCCTGCCAGCACTTGAATATGTATATATGAAGGGGTTAAGGAAATATGGTGTTAAGAGTGTGGACTGAATTCATTTGGGTGTTGGGCTCTTATGAAAATGGAATGAACCTTCAGGTTCCTTAAAACATGAGAAATCTGACCATCAGCTCCTTGAGACAGTTATAATCCATGGAATTACTTTATAATTTAAGCAGTTATTTATAAAAATACCAACCGAAGGCATCATGGCTGGATGATAAATATGGACACCATAAATAAAACTTGATCTGGACTTTTCACGAATTATCACACGATGATTCTTCCCAGTAAACTTGTGGCAAGCTTGAATATCACGTCCATGCCAGTCTGACCAATAGAGTGTGTCTTCGAACACTGCAATTGCATATGGATGCTTCACGGCATCTTTCAAAATAATCTTGAAAGGAAAAAAATAATTTTAGTATGACTTTAGTGTTAAATCCTGATTTAGAAATCTAGCCATATCAAGTACACTACAACATGAAGACTTTTAGAAGTTTCCAGTTTTATTCAATAATGTTTAAGGAGCATTCATGAATTTTCATTAAGAACTAAATTTTAATATATAAAAGTCAAGTCTCATTATATTCCTTTAAATCTTGAACAACCAGATTTTACTCAAACAAATCTCTCCTCAATGGATGGATTACAAATATAAATTTCCAATTTAAAATATTTGCTGCATCTTAACAATTACAATTTATGGAATAATAAATGGAATATTGTGACATTTATCCAGAAAGAAAATTATCACAACATGACTCAGTGATATTATAAAATTTCTGTTAATGAAGACAGTTAAATTCCAACACCTATAAAAGAATAACATCGAAGTCAACACTAGTAATACATGAATGCAAATTTTTCACTAGCTGCACATTTTATTACAGAATCACATATCAACAACTTACCCTTCTGTCAGATCCATCCAGCTTGACTGATTCTATAACAAGCAGTTTAGCATCGACCCAGTATAGACGGGAATTGTGGTAATCTACAGTAAGACCATTAGGAAAGTGTAGTTCTGTTGAAATAAATGCTTCTGGGTTGGATCCATCCATTCCTGCCTTACCAATCAGAGGCACATTTCCCCAGTCTGACCAAAACATCAACCTAGGATAGAGAAGTATCTTCAGTAATGTGTATTCCAGCACTAGACACTACAACCACATGCAACAGTTTCTAACAAATCAACTTACCCTTCAGTAGGTAACAAAACAATACCGCGTGGTTTTTCTATATCTTCGTTGATCACTACAGTACAAAATGAACCATTGTTTGTGCATACACCAATATGCTGTGCATCAACATCGGTGAAATATATGTTGCCCGTAACCCAGTCTACAGCAAGATCTTCAGGCTGGTACACTCCTAAAAACAAATTGTTAAAATGCCAATGAATCCTAAACATACACATGTATTTCATTCAATTACTTTCCTTGAATTTTAATGTACTAGTACTTTTTCCAAAATTATACATTGAACTACAAACATAGGCAGTCACATTAAATGTTTATGGCAGTTCCTCTCATTCAGCAGAGTTTCCTAAGCAGAAAGTAGTCAGAATTAAGTTGCAATACATCTTTTATCCGTGCGTATTATACAAGCTCTTCATGAAGGTACTCCACAGAACAGCGATTCCCAGCCGCTTGATTCATAGTTTAATCAATATGTTTACCAAGGCAGTAATGTCATTATTCGTCTCTTATTGCACAGTGTAAGTAGATCTTACTTATGGGTTTCTGTGCCATTTAAGTGCAACGTAGTTCATTGTTCCTTTATCAGACATTTCACTACATATTTCGGCCTAAAGTGCCACCTTCAGGTATAGAGATTGTAGTAGCGCAGGACTCTACCGCTCACTGTAATGCATTTCAGTGAGCCTCATATATCATACAAGAAAAACCAAACCACTGTGTTACGAGATATTACTATTCTATTACTTTCATTTTGTAGAATAATCAAAAGCAGCAGCCACTGTAGTCAAAACAACATGAAGTTTCTAATGCAACATAATTACCTGCATCCACAACTATTTCCATGTTAGATCCATCTTCCTTGCTACGCATAATTGCTTCCTCCCCAGACACTAGGTGTGTCCAATAAATATGGATGCCATCATAAGAGATACCCACAACATGATCCAAGTTTCTGGCAACCACATAATAAACTCGCTTGTGAATGTAAAGACCACGTATCTCTTTCGAAGATGAAAACAGAAGCAAAGCATCTGCACCTAAATAAGAAACATAGTTGTGCAATTCTTTCATTTTGTTAACATTAAAGTTCATATAAGTCTAGACCAACTGGGTCTTGCTTGATTTTCATGAAAGCTGAAAACTTCCTTTATAACATTACTACGTAGGTAAGTCAATAAGTAAGTTACAAATGGGTATAGGACTTAAACAAATAAAGAGTACTGATTTGCAAAATGCTTTTATTACTCAACATAATCTCCCCATACACTGAGGCACTTGTCTCGTCATTTCACAAGCCTCTGAAAACCAGCAACATAAAATTCTTCTGATTCAAATTGCTCCTTTGCTCTGTACACATGAAACAATTCTAGAACTGCTTAATGGAATTCATGGAATTTGAGACTGGAATTTTACTAAAATTTGTAGAAACTAATTCTGGGCCAAAACAAGAGCTACTAGTAAGACCTACATGTTTTTGCAAGAATTTTGAGCCTAACTCCCTTACACCTTTATCGGAGGGAAAAATGTTTCAAACAAAAGTTGTGAAGGAAAATAAAGCAAACCCTTTATGTCTGGTACACTTTCTCTGTAAGTCACATAGTTTTTGAGATACTTCAAATACAGTGAACACCTCAGAATTATGCCATGCATAATTTCAAAAGCCATATATTCATCAATCAAAAATGGTCTCCCAAAGAGATCCGAAGACTATTGAAATCTCATCACTGATAATTATTAAAGAAATTCTGCTTTCTTCTTAATCTATAGATCTACATGTACATGTACATAAATGCATATTAAATTAAAATATAATATCAGGTAATGCTACAGCCCTCTACTTTATTCAAATTTGAACTTCATTGCTTACAAAATAACTATACAAAATTCAGTGAATGCACAAGAGCTGCTATGCTATATGTATATTTCCTAACTTGATTAAAATATGGAACAGTGTAAGTTTTATTTTCAGTTCTCTAGAATGCAGACTTTGTAAATTATCATTAGGAGTACACTTCAATTGTAATCCAGCCACCAGCATGATCATGTATTTTATTAACAATGTAATTTTGATAATGGACAGATCACATTCCATTCATTGCATTCAGGGAGAAATGGCCATGAAACAACTTCCAGTTTGAAGAGAAGGTTGCCTTCTTACTGAAGTAGTCATTCCCTACACTCTACCCAAAACTTGTCAAGAACCGCAATGTGAAACTGAATGAGGATGGTGATAACCTTGTCCAAAATATGCAATATCAGTTTGGGTTCTGTATTACAGCATAACGTTTCAATTGTTCAAATTAGCGTTAATTGTTTATCTTCTGTCAAAATTGCAACCCTTTTACATTCTAAACTTCAACACTACATGTTTCGGCCCAAACGGCCATCTTCAGGTATTTTTACGTTACAGATATTTTACTAAAACTGTTAAAAACTGCTACACTGTTTTAATTTGTGTTAAAAAGACTAATAAAGACATCACCACACACTGTAGAGGAAGCACACACAAGCCAGGAGCATATGGCAATCAAAACCTGAAAGACCACAAACGTAAGGGGCAAGCTGCCAAGAAAAACTCCTTGATACACTTACAAAATGACGGACACCCCAGGTGAGATGAAATAATATTCAACAAATGTTAAAGGATTTTATCTCGTTTTACTTAAAAAGAAGACTACAGCGTGTGTTTTTAACACGAATTAAAACAGTGTAACAGTTTTTAACACAGTTTTAGTAAAATATATGTAACATAAAAACACCTGAAGATGGCCATTTGAGGCCAAACCATGTAGTGCTGAAGTGTAGAATGTAAAAGTATTCAATTTTTACAGAAGATAAACAATGGACACTAATCAGTTTGGGGTTAAAACATGATTCACATGATTGACTAACAAGGTTTTTGTCAATGGTGATCATGTTTGAACTCATTCACAGAGTTCTAGGCTTTTAAAGACAGCAGTCAGCTGTGACATGATGCCCGAGAGCCAGAATAGTGGAGCCATAATGGACATCCATTGCCAGCCAACGGCTTGGTGAGAACATCTCCGCAGCGACAAACAGATGCAGAAGTCCACTGCTAGCCAACAGTGCACCAAACACATTCACATGGCAACAGGCATAAAACACAAATAACAGAATAATACACAAACTGTTGGAGATAATCTATATTCAGTTCATTTGAAGTCGGTTCAGTCACAATATTTTTCATTCATCAATCATCACAGCAGAAGAGAAGACACTCATAGTCCAGTAAAAGAATAGAGTGAGTCTTAGACAGTCACTACTTGTGAGCTGCTACAATTGGTTGTAATTGTAAAAGAGGTGCCAATGAATCCAATCATCCAATTCAGAACCCATTATTAGTCATGGAACCCCAGACAAGTGACACTAATTCCCCAGAGGACATTTCCATTTCTTCTACCAGCATACCTCAAAATGTGCAGTACCATGAAAAAAAATAATTCCACGGTTAAATCCAAGAAGGTGGTTATTTTTTCAGTGCAGAAAGTACAGTGCTATAGTTGATTCAGCCCTGCCACTTTAAACCTTATGTAGCTATCAGCCCAAGTTTCTGCAGAATGTTTTTCCCTTAAGAATTTACTATACTGTAGTATGATAAAAGGGGAAAAACCCTTTTAAATTTATTATGTTTTACTTTGTTAGGTGTAAAGAGGTGAACAAGAAGAAATGGCAGAAAGAAATAGTGCCACTAGAAACATTTCATTATGTAATAGTTATCTTTCCTATTATTACTATCATATTTACAAGAAAATATACGAATGAGAAAACTACCGAGTCAATCTACTTTATGAACCAGGGTACATTAAACTTTGAGCGGGCAACTTTCAAGAAGAAAAGCCCCGTTTAAGCATGAACTCCACACTGGCATATGAATGCCAGAAGTATCTGGAAAACAGAATTAGTGACTTTCTAAGCATGACATGTTATATTTGTATACGTTATGCAATTTCTTTAGTGAAAAGAACAGGACATATCACATGTTGATGAGGGTTAACAGCAACTGCAACTACCCTAACCCTCAATTTCCCACATGGCCTTAATTTGTCACCTGTGTTGTCTTCCAGAAATGAAAATCCCTCAGTTTGAAAGAGATCACTGTATTTAAAATATCTGGGAATTTCATGTGAAGATGAATTTGAATATTTATGAGGTAATTATCTCATTTCACTAACAGTACAGGTTGGATTGTTCCAGACGTTTCTCCTTTCACTGTCATAAAAAATCATTAAATGTGCCAATACTGTCAAGTAATATTTTGTTATACAATCAGTAATATTATTTTTGTTCTGAAAAATGTTTATTAGGGCTAGTTCTGTAATATATAATTGTATTAGTTCTAATACTGAACAATGAACTTTCAAGATTGCTGTTTGGAAATTTCCATACTTACTGACAGGTTAACAGCTGAACTGCTTATGGAATCATGCAAACTCTAGAGAACTTTAATAATTCAATATTTATTTACTGCAATAAGCAATGTTAAGAAATTACAATAGTTTACCTGAAACTCTGTTCTGTAATGAGTAAAAATTTCTTTCATAAAACAAAAGTATTTAGCTTCACAAGAAACACTCACCAGTTTGTATTTAGAAGTGCCAGAATCATAAGTAATTTACTGTACTGTATTCACTTTTGCTTCTGTAACTTTCAGTTGAATATGACCAAACAAAACAGTTTTAGTCTTTTCAAATAGTTTAAAAAAGGACTCTTAGATCAACTAACCTGTAGCTTTGCAGGAATGCTTGTCAGATGCGAGTTCATATCCTTCATCACAGTAGCAGCTGTAACTTCCCTGCAGATTTTTACATCTTTGATCACAGATGCCATATTCCAAGCATTCATCTTTGTCTGTAACATGTATTTGTACATTCCATCTATTAGATATAGATATATATATATATATCAACAGTATTTCAGTCTTAAACAACCTACTCATACCTAGTGGCTATCAGATTACCACTAAATGTCATTAATTAATATGGAAGATGCAAATAGTTTATCAGTACTTCTCAGCATATCACTTGGTATGTGTTCTTGATAAATTTGAACAAAATCTACTAAGTTACAAAATTCATATCCCACAGAAATAATTTAGATTTGCAAAATAAAATTTAAACAAGAAAATTAATTTTTCCTGTACATGTTTTAAGTTACATAACAGTAATAGGTTTAGCAGCACGTAACCAAGTTATGATACAATCAAAGTTGTATAAAACTGACTTTGCAATCTCTCTGAACCATTGCACAAACTACACTCATCTGTATCACAAGCCAACCACAATTTTTCCAATAACACGAACCAATTATCACACCTATATAAAGTGAATTGTTGTGTGATAAAGATCAGAGTAAAGTAAGTAAAAGTAAAAGATATAAACTATTCCTTGGAGCTAACTGCTCTAGAATATTAAAATATATCAAATAAGGCAATACACTGACATAACACTATTCATTCTGGTCCGTCACACTAATAAACCAAATTACAGAATAATTGTTAACACCATCCAGTGTGATTCAATTTGTAGGTATTTATTTCCTTTACATGTTTTGGTCAGCTGACCATCTTCAGAAGGCATAAGACCAACATGTTCAGGAACTACTATTACAAAGTTCATAATACATACAGGTTTTTATACAAAAAGCTATTTACAGTTATTTGGATTAAAATCTTATTACTGTCTAACATTAAGATCTTGAACCAATATGGTTTGTGTCCTTGCGACTCTTCCATTAAAAAAAGTGGGGGTATTATCTGAAGTCTTCAGAGGTCCTTGCAGTGATCAGCATATTTGACAATTTCCATGATCTGTTCCATAAGCTGGTATTGGTGACCTTTGCCTAATATGTGCTGGGCAAAAGCTTTCTGATTTAACAGAAGATGCATAAGTACACAAACCATATCAGTTCAAGATATTAAATATTAGACATTAACAAGACTTTAATCCAAATAATTGTAAATAACTTTTTATATAAAAACGTCTAAGTATGTATCACAAACTTTTTAATAGTAGTTCCTGAACATGTTGATCTCATGAATTCTGAAAATGGTCAGCTAACTGGAACATGCAAAGGCAATACATCTATAAATTGACTCACACTGGACAGTGTTAATTATTCTATAATTTACTGACATAACACTTTAACAATCACCAAAATATGAAAGAATTATCTGCATGCATTTGACATGATTTCAGGCTGGTTTCAAAAACGAAGAACTTGCAGGATAATGCAAGTTGAGTATGTCCCCTTACAGTGTGAAAAAGAGGCCAATATTTATGTAACACTGAGGAAGATTATACACTTTAAAGCCACTCGGAGACCACTAGCAAACACACAGTATTTGTTCAGATAATTTTTGCCTAAAATTTAATATAACACGATTATCAATCAACCCTCGAGTTCCATTAGGCAGAAAAGTAATCCTCAACGTACTAGGTGGTTCAAATATGACAAGGACTGATTTTTTTGTAAACAAGCTGCACTGTGCAGCAGCTGTGCAACCTTGAGAGATTGTAGCCACAACCTCCACTCTCCCTCCTGTTAGGGTTAGAACCTGTTCAGTGCTGTCTGGGAGTGGCTAGAGGGATGAGCGTACAGAAGGTACTGTGGAGCGTGGAACAACGCATTGTGATCAAATTCCTCATTGGAGAAAACGTCCCGTCTGCTGAAATTTACCACACACTACAACAGTATGGGGAAGATGGTCTCTCACGGACCCATGTGTTTGAGTGGTGTAAGTGCTTCAGAGAGGGCAGAGAGCGCGTAGAGAATGAACCGCATGATCGTCGGCCGCGAACATCCGTCACCAAGCCAAACATTGATCGTGCAGATGCACTTATTCATGAGAATAGGCGCATCACTATCAAGGAACTTGGAGCAATGCTGTCCATCAGTGTTGGTAGTGTAGAGGACATCGTGAAATATCACCTGCACTATCGCAAGGTGAATGCACAGTGGGTATCACGCACTTTGATGGACGTGAACAAAATGGTGCGCATGCAAGTTGACAGTCGTCTCCTACAGAAGTTTGAAGATGAAGGTGACGCATTTTTGAAGTCTATAGTGACCACCAATGAAACGTGGGTGCACTACTTCATTCCAGAGTCCCAGCAATCATCATGCGAGTGGTGGCATACTACCACTTCTCCCAAACACACGAGAG